AAGCTGTGAGGCATAATTTTGTACAAACAGAACTTGGTAAACTTATTTTGGACACTATATGTTAGGTTTTTGTAAAACTCTCTAACAAAAGTTTAAAAAGCATTGAATGTAATTTCTAGACAATAATTCTTGAGCAGGAATTTTGTAAGTTTTTTTCCTTTTTTTCCCTCCCTTGGAGTAGTTTATCTTCTGGGTAATAATCTTGTTGAACCTGCTTAACAGTAAGAGACTGTGATTGCATGGGAAAAGAAAAAATCATTATATAATGATGCCAGGAGTTTCCCCCTAATCCTGGGTTAACAATTGCCTTTGTCGATGTGCATGATAACAGTGAGTGTTTACTGGCTCTTTTCTATATGCCAGGCCCTATTCTAAGTGCTTTAAATATGTTATTTCATTTAAACCTGTATAGAACCTTACAAAATAAACACTCTTCTTATCTGTACTTTACGGATAAGAAAATCAAACAGAGTTCATAACTTGCTACACATTAGGCATCTAGTGAGACCTGTAGCTTGGCTTGAACCTCAGCAGTCTGACTCCCATATTTACACCCTACTAGCAATGGCTGCGAGCTGGGCCCCAGAGCCAGACAGGTCTGGGCTCACATACTATCACTGTTAGCTGGGAAGTTTGCCTAATTGTTCTGTGCCTCAGTTTTTCAAATGGGGATAATAATAGTACAAACCTGTGAAAGAAAAATGTTGCCTGCCATATCAGTAAACAAAGGATGTTACAGCCATAAAGCCATCACATTACAGCCACCCCTTACAGTGAGCCCTGAGGGAACTCAGGATGGAAACAGGCTGCCCACTGCCCAGCCCTCAGCTGCTGTAGCCACCGACGGTGCATCCTGAGAGGACTCAGGATGGGAAAGAACAGCATACTGATCCTGGTTGGTTAGGGCGCATATCAAAGGAATGATTTCAGTGAGCCCAGACTCTTGCATCTTCCCATACATAGAAAAGTGCTAAATTCCTTAACTTGAGATGTCTGGTTTTCTTTAATTAACAGCAATCTTCTGAAGTTCCTACTACCTGGTCTTTGTTGCAAAAACTCCTATATACCCTGGCTCCTCCCTTACCCCTTTGGAGCAGTCTCTCAGAGCTATCTGAGAGGCTGTGTCCTGGCTTAAGTCCTCAGTTTTGTCTGCCAAATAAAACATAATTCTCAACTTTTAGGTTTTGTGTTTTGTTTTTTTCAGTCGACAACCTCATGAAAGCTCATGAGGATTACTGATATGTGTGCACAGGATGCTGAAGAGTTTGACAAAGAGAAAAACGTTGAGAGATATTAGCTTTCATTAATAATATATCCTCAGTCATTGAAGTCAAACCCCATGGCTCCAGCCTAATTGAAATAACTCACTGAATTTGGAAAGGTCTCTTTGAGCCCCCAGTCTATTCCTTGGTAGTGACTGTCAATGCTACAAGTTCTCTAAATTATATTTATGGTACTGGCTTTAGAAATGGCAACAGTCTCAGTGCTTACAAATTCATGCAACAAATGTTTCTTGAGGGCTATGTTACCAGTCATTTGCTAGATATGGGAGATAGAAAGATAGTAAATAAAAAAGACACTCACCCCCACACCTCCCCTCTAATACATAAAAGAGAGATGCAACTGCAACTGTGACAAGAGCTACAAAAGGGAAATTCAGGGCTCTGTGAAAATGTAGAACAAGGTGGAACAAGTAAACTTCAGGTCCCCTCACTTGCACAATCCTTCCAAGGACACAGAGGCATTTATGTTTTAGTAAAAGTTGCAAGATATCTTAACATTTGTGGTTAAAATAACTTTTCATTCCACTTCTGTTTGTCAAAACTCCTCTCCTGTTGGATGATGTTGGGGTGACCACCAGCAGTTGGGGGATTTGCTAAGAGGAAGTTGAATTGGGGATAGCTTAGACTTGGACTAAATGAGAAATATTTTGTGATTAGTTGTCTCTTTTGTATAGGTGTAAGTAAATTTTAGTTGTACTGCTATAGGACTATCTTCCAGAAATATACTTTCTCTGTACCTTGTGACATCCATGTCTAGGCCAGAGGTGGTATTGAGATATAGATGTGTCCCATGGTGTCCAGTCCTGGAAGAATATGAGGATTGAAGGAGAAGCAAAGTTTGAAATGTTTGAAGTGTATGGAATAAGAAGTTAGTATCAACTGTGTAAAATTGTAAGCAGAGGATATGGTTTCATGGATGCAGTCATAACGGAAGTTTTCCTTTGTCAGAAATATTCAGCAATACAGTATTTACTATTATGATGCACCATACTTTTTGTGTGTGTATCATGGGAATTGGACACAATAGAATTTAGCAGAATTTCTGTCTATGCAGGATACAAATCTGTAGCAGTCCTATAAACAGCAAGTCTGTATATGTGTGCAGTCACATGATTTAGCACCCAAACTTTCTACTCCCTCTATAGAAAATGTGCTTACAAAATCTTTGATATATGAGGAGGCGATCAAAGATAATGCAGCCAAAAAAATGTAGGGGAAAAGTGTAAATAGTGGTATGGTAATTAAGCATTTAAGTAATTAAACATACTACCTTACTTTTCTGGATTGTATGAAATGTGTGATATTACAGATTTTTTTGACATTTGTAATTTGTTATGATTTCTTCTTACATTCTAAATTAATATTCATTTTTGTACCTAATTTGGTATTCTTTTTTCTTAAAGAAGGCTCCCAAAAGTGTGTAAGTATCAGATATCACCAAACTTGGATGCAGCTCTAGCAGGGAGACCTACACTAGTCCAGAGTCAAGGTAACTTTCTGAGAAAATGACTTTGAAGCTGACTTTTGATGTTGGGGGTCAGAGGCAGCCACACTAAGATGGTAGTGTATTTATGTGTGTGTATGTGGGATGGGGATGGGAGGGAGAAAGTGTGAGGAACTGGGGTGCAGACGCTAAGGCTGAACAATGAGGAAGGATGGCAGAAGTCATGGTGTGTTTTTAGGCCCTGCAATTTCAAGAAAAATTAAAAATTAAAAAAATTTAATATGATCATTTCTTTTGTGTCACATTCAAGACAGGTGCAGTGTATATGAATTTTCAACCCCATATTCAGGAGTGAAAGTAATATCATTTTATTTTATTTAAGTCCCATTCTTAGTCCTCATCCATCCATCCATGATTGTGGGAAATTCAACCTTAGTCATCCTTAGAGTCCTGTTCTTTTCCTTCACTCTCAAGATCATGAGAAGGTGAGCTTTCTCTGAGGTATGTGTGTTAGTCCGTTCATGCTGCTATAACAAAATACCATTGACTGGGTGGTTTATAAGCAACAGAAATGTATTGCTCGCAGCTCTGGAGGCTGGAAGTCCCAGATCAGTGTGCCAACAGAGAGTTCCCTTCTGGTTTGCAACTGCTGACTTCTCATTGTAATACCATCGCTTTGGGGGTCATGATTTCAACATATGAATTTTGGGGGAACACAGATATTCACTTCATAGCAGCATGCGCTCTCCATCTTCTCCCAGAGTTTCCCTGTGGCATTGGTCTAACTGCCCACATTGTTAGTTAACTGGATAACTCACCCTGTATTGTCTGCCTCCCTTTCTTACTGGTATTCCAAAGTTCCCCAGTGAGTCACTTGTAGTGGATCTTCTTCTCAGGATCTGCTTTGGAGGAACCCAAACTGAGACAATGAGTTAATACTGTAAGCGCACTGTCAATGCCCTCCAGCCAAAGACCACCAGGGACACATCTACAGTTGAACCAGTTGGGTTTATTTATTTTTTTGCATCAAGGTAGGACACACACCATGGGATATCATGGGGTGTCTCTGAAAAAGTGTGTCAGAAAGGACCTATTATAGTATTTGGACTTGGATGGTTTGGGAGATGGTCTAAGGAAATGGGATTGGATACTGTCAGAAAGCACAGGCCATTCTATGAAGGAGGATCTCAATAAATCTTACCTATAGTGAGGGGAGACTAAAATGAAGTTAAAGTTGTAACTGGTAAAGAAATAGCCACTCATCTGGGCCAAGAGCTGGGTTGTCAGGTACTTGTGGGTGACAACCGGAAACTTGTTTTTGTCTGTGCTTACACAAAATTGTGAAGTGGACTTGCTTTGTCTCACCTTCTGATCTCAGAGTAAACTTGTCTGAGGTTGGTATTCTGTGAGATGGTTTATGTCTAACAGATTAGCATGGTCTACCTGTGAATGCCAGGCCAGGTTCCGAAAGTCCAGTCCTGGTCTGCTTTTTAAATTTCTCAGCACTTAGAAAATGCAAGGCACTTAGTAAACTCTCAATGTCACATACCAGTCACCAGTCTGAAGTTAGGGCTTCACAAGCAACCTCTTTTAATCTTAACAATAATCTTGAGTTAGGTATGAATTATATTCACATTTTAGAAATGAGGAAGAAATGTGATCTGTGCTTATGCAGGATGTCAACAGGTACATTACATTAAGATGAAGAATGATAAACCAGAGATCTGCCCTTAATTCTGAAGTGAATATTATTAATCCCTTAGAGAGAAAAAGCAAAAGCAGGAGGGTCAGAGCCCCGCTGTCTCTCGGCGATAAGATAAAAGTCGATGTGTCCTTGGAAACATCAAAGCTGCCCGGAGTCTGCAACTTTTATTAGATTTCAGCCACTTCCCCTTAGGAATATGGAGGCTGTCTTAAATATATTATTATTCTGATGATGTGTGGTTCAGCTTGGACTTAAACATGCACTTCAGGAGTAGACATAAATTACTGAAAAGGCATTAGCACTCCGGCAGTGTATACATGCCTTTTGTTTCTGCAGTCTTTAAAACTTTTCTGGCACAGTAATTCGTCCACCAACACAAGGACATATAAACCGCCATTACCAGCCCTATAAAAAACAATCGGGACAACAAAGGGAAAGACAGCAAGGAAAAGCGTGAGAGAGGCAAAGCGAGGCAGCGCCCTGGGGTTCACACCCGGGTGGAAAGGCGCCAGGCGCCTCGGCCTCCAGGGCCCGCCCGCTCCTAGCCCAGCCCCCATAGCTCTAGGATTTCTGGCCCGCCCCCTGCATTTCCGGCCAGAAGTTGGGAGGCTCTACATGGCGCTGCTAAGCCGTGTCCTCTTTGTTTGGGGCCGCGGTCCTCGGCGGGTAAGGCGGTGCTGGAAGGGCCGAGGGTCCTGCGCTCTCCCCGCAGACGCCCTGTCCGGGGGACTAGCGGAGCGAAGCGCAGAGCGTGGACTCGCGTTACCAGGGCGCTAGGAGCGAGGACAGGGTATCTCGCGGAGAGAGGACAGAGGACTGGGGTTTCTGGGGAATCTCGCGAGGAGCGGGAACCCGGGGACTGGGATGAAGTGGGAAGGTCGCCTTGGGTTGCTGTCGGAGGAAGTCCTGGTGTATGTTTGTGTTTGGGGTGGGGATGGGGGTGGGGAGGGCACGCCGTGGTTCTCACTGGTTCCCATTCCTAGTAGTTTCAAAGTTGTGTGTAAGTAGAAAGAGAGGACGCTGTACACACCGGCCTTTAGAGCTCTGAGTGGGAGAGGGACGGGGTGGGGAGTGGGGCCCAGCGGGAGCATTGGCCTTATCTGTAGTTTTTTATTTTTTAATGAAGGAATTCTTTCAATTGTTAGTCCAGTTAAACATTAATACAAACATATTCACATAAAAAACTTCCCTTCCTAGAGATAATGCTGGGCGAGCTGCATCTCAGGCTGGCTTCCACCACTTTCACCCTCATAATTTTGTTTTGTTTTGTCAACATCTCTCCACTAGACCAATAATCAGAATAAAGTGTGCAAGAGAAGACAGCTGGAGGGGGGAAGAAAGAGAAAGGAAAATAAAAAAGTCATATCCAAGACAGCCCCTTCCCCCAACTAAATTAAAAAAAAAATCTTAGTGAGCTAAACTAAACGAAACCAGAGTTCACAATTTCCTTAGCCAGGTAGAAAAATTAATCTGCCAACTGTGAAAAAACTTTTTTTTCAGTTAGAATGGGCAGCCATGGTTTTCTTTTTTGAAAAACATGGACAAATTGCAAATGTTGAACACAAGGAAATGGTATAATGAGTCTCTGAAGTAAGAAAGAACTACCTTTTAAACAGTGAAATTTGTTCAAGGCTAGGGTTTTGTTGATACTGTTTTCTCTTATAAAGATTTAGGTTCTAGGTTATTGTAAAAGAAAGCTACATTTTCAGATCCCTTCTTAACTCTCTCATTTGAATCCTACAAAGACTCTGTGAAGAAGAAAAGTCTTCAGAGAATTTTTTTTTAAAAACACAAATCATTAGGCTTGTAGTAATAAGGTCACACAGACTGTATCCCAGCTCTTCTGACACCATTAGACAATACAGCATGAGAGGGAGAAAATGAACTCATTTAAAAATTAACTGTAATCTGACAGTTGTGAAATTCCTTTGCTTAAGAAAAATGGAAGTTTTGAGGATGGGGGTTTGAAGGCAAGGGAGGCCCTTATAGGTGGTGTTTCTCTCCTTCCTGGCACATGCAGGCTTGGGTGTGAATTACTGGGAAAGGAAAAGTCTTCACATCTGTTAAGTGGGAGATTGTTCCAGGCAGCATAATGTTTCTGTGAGCAAATACAAGTTTTTTCAGTTAAAGCCCCTGATTTGAATATTTTAGTTACCAAGAAACTGAGAAATGTTTCATTTGTCATACATCCTATTTATGAAGAGCTATATTGTGCTGGTAGCTAGTAGGGTTCAGTTCAGTGCAGCGTTTAATGAGAACTGGCTCTGTGCCTGCCCTGGGGATGCAAAGGTTAAAAAAAAAGTATGAAACTTGCTCTCAGTTTTTTTTAAAATAAATTTATTTATTTATTTATTTATTTATGACTGCGTTGGGTCTTTGTTGCGGTGTGAGGGCTTCGCATTGCACTGGCTTCTCTTTTTGCGGAGCACAGGCTCTAGGCACACGGGCTTCGGTAATTGTGGCACATGGGCTCAGTAGTTGTGGCTCGTGGACTCTGGAGTGCAGGCTCAGTAGTTGTGGCACACGGGCTTAGTTGCTCCATGGCACGTGGCATCTTCCCGGATCAGGGCTCAAACCCGTGTCCCCTGCCTTGGCAGGCGATTCTTAACCACTGCGCCACCAGGGAAGTCCCGCTTTCAGTTTTAATGAGGAAAACATTCACTCATTCAGTAGTTTATCAAGAAATGCTAATTAAGTGCCTACAAAGTGTTGGGCGTTCTTTGGCGATCCTTACTTGAAAAGTATCTCTACTGTCCTTGAGCTAATAGCCTCATGTGTATTTTTCAAGTTATGGATAATAACTCATGAATGGACCTTGAAATAATTTAGTGGAACAAAATGAGTTTAAGAAAAATAAAGTGGAATGGAGTAGAAAATAAAGTGGAATAGAGTAGAAAACCTAATGTAGTAAGGTTAAGTTTACTTTGTGAAACTTTTTTTTTTAAATTTACTGTTCTTCCTTTCATAATTCATTCTTTGTATCTGTGGTGCACATTGCTTTTTCTTTTTCTTTTTCCTTTTTTTAATCAAGAGTAATAACTACTATTTTTATAAAAATGATACCTGGCCAATATGAATTCAAGTAATAAATATAGTTAAATTAAAACAAGCAAAGTAACACATGTTCCCAAACTGGCCACCCAGAAATAACTGGGGTTAACATTTGGCTAACATCATTCCAGGCATCTTGTTTGTGCTGGTAAAAGGATGGGTAGATAGGCATAATTTTGCTTGGATGTATCACATTTATTTTTCCCATTGAACTTCATCAACATTGTTTCATTGTTTTCTGATGCTGATTATTGTCAAGAAGAAGTGTAAGGCCAGCTGTTTTTTTTTTCCTCCTGTTTGTGTTTTGAGTTTTCTTTCTTTCCTCCCTCCCTCCCTCTCTCCCCCTTTCTTTCCTTTCCTTTCCTTTTCTTTTTTTCTCTCTTTCATTTTTCTATCCAGAAAGCCTAAGAAATCTTTCTTTACCCATCTCAGAATTTCAGAATATAAGCTTGCTGGAGGCAAGGGTTTTCATGTGATTTGTTCACCTGGGCTGTATGCCCAGGTCTAGAGTAGTTCATAGCACAGAGTAAATATGGAATATCTGTCACACGACTGAATGCATGTACTGTGTTTTGTATAGGGCATATTTCTTACTAGATCCTCATTCAGAATATGTCTGAAAAATGATATTCTCGTGGGTCATCACCAGACATCAACAGACTGAAAATGCAGATGTTTATTAGAATGCGTATATGAACAAAGCAGTGTGTGCCTAGAGGAGGCAGGGAAGGCTTCATGGAGGAGGTGGGCTCCTAGAGCTCACTTTTGAAGGAGTTGCAGTGTACAGGATCCCAAAGGTAATCTAGATGTAAGGAATAGCATGTATCAAGAAGTGAAGGAGCATGACCTATTTTTAAAAATTCAAGTGTTTTGGCATTGTGGACTTTGCAAAGTATTGGAGTCAGAGAGAAGTTCATGGAGATGAGACGGGACAGGTTGCTGGGGGACCAGGGCATGGTGGGCTTCACTTATTTATGTGGCAAATTGAGCATTTACTATATGTTAGGCACTGTACTAGGGATATGAGCATGAGAAAAAGAGCTGATTCCTGCTCTCAGGAAGCTTAAGAATCTAGTAACATTATAGTTTATTATGGTATGTGTTATTTTTTTGCTGTATGCGGGCCTCTCACTGTTGTGGCCTCTGCCGTTGCGCAGCACAGGCTCCGGACGCGCAGGCTCAGCGGCCATGGCTCACGGGACCAGCCGCTCCGCGGCATGTGGGATCTTCCCGGACCGGGGCACGAACCCGTGTCCCCCGCATTGGCAGGCGGATTCTCAACCACTGCGCCACCAGGGAAGCCCATGATGAGTGTTCTTGATCTTAGAGGGGGTACAAATAAATAGCATCCCTCTTCTCCCATCTGAAAAACCAGAGTAAAGATGGAGGCCAAAGTACCACTTGTTACAGTTTGATTTTAGAGCCAGTGCTAACTGGATTTCCTGAATTAGGCAGACTTATCATCTGAGGAGGAACATTTGCTTTCTGAGGGCAGCTAGCTCCCAAGAGGGAGAAGGTTTAAGAAGGACTACTCATGCCCAATTATTCTCTCAAAATTTGCTGGTCAGATAAACCATTTCCAGGGGGACAGGGTGACTAAGGGGGCAAAAAGAAGCCTGGAGTTTAACTCAGCTCCCCTCCTGGAGCGAAATGAAACATCAGGATTAGGGAAGAAACATTTCCCATCCACAGTGGGAGAAGTGTACAGTTTTAAGGAGTATAGGGGCTTCCCTGGTGGCGCAGTGGTTAAGAATCCACCTGCCAATGCAGGGAACACAGGTTTGAGCCCTGGTCTGGGAAAATTGCACATGCCATGGAGCAACTAAGCCCAGCAGCTAAGCCCGTGCGCCACAACTACTGAGCCTGTGCTCTAGAGCCCGTGAGCCACAACTACTGAAGCCCACGCACCTAGAGCCCGTGCTCTGCATCAAGAGAAGCTACCGCAACGAGAAGCCCATGCACTGCACCAAAGAGTAGACCCCGCTTGCCGCAACTAGAGAAAGCCTGTGTGCAGCAATGAAGACCCAATGCAGCCAAAAATAAAATAAATGAAATAAATAAATTTAAAAAATCACTTTAAGGAGTATAATTTTTGGGTTTTACATATAAGCTGGGACCTGAAGGATTAGTAGAAGTTAGTCAGGGGGAGAAGTAAGAGTAAGAAAGTTCTAGGCAGGAGAGTGGCCTATGTGAAGGCCCAGACTAGATTATAGGTAGCAAGTAAGGAGGCAGGTGGTGAGAGACAGGCTAGGGAGCAGCCTGTGAGCCATATTAAGGAGTGAGAGCTTTGTTCTGAAGGCCTGGAAATAGGGGTGAGAATGGAGGCAACCTGGGTAATCTTCTCTCCAGATGAGAGGCCATGGTGGCTTCAACTAAGGAATGGCAGTACATGAGAGACTTGAAGTCTGGTGATATTTAAGAGATATATTGAGAGGTCTTGGTGATTGGTAGTAGCGGGTGAGGAAGGAAGATTGGGCCATGCTGAGGAAGTGAATGGCACCATCAGAATTGTGAGCAGGAAAGTATTATCATCAGGTGAGACTTGAGATGGGGATACTAGAGTGCAAGTATAAGTGGTAAGGGTCAGAACTAAGGGCGGTTGTTGGAGCTATTTAGGACTAAAATGAACCGAACTTAGTGGTTTGGGTATGTGATGTGAGATGAAGCCCAGATTTCTATTTTTGACCCCTGAGCTAAGGGAAATGTTACTCTCTGAGAGAGAGCATTTATGAGAAGGAGCCAGAGGGAAGAGAGGGGTAAGTGATATATCTTGAACATGTTAAAGCGCCTCTAGGACTTCCAAGCTGGTATACAGATAATTTGATTAAGTTACAGAGATGGCGGTGAGAATGATAATTCTGTTGGGAGTGTTAGGGAAGCCTCAGCCTTGAACGATGAATGTTGAGTGATGGTGGGGATCAATTTGTTTTTTTTTTTTTTTTTTTGGTGGGGATCAATTTGTATAAAGGTAGAGAGGTGGAAACAATTTGTGTTTGGGGAACCCTGCATATTTTGTTTTTTTGAGTATAAATTTCAAGGTGGAAAAGCAGAGGGAGATGAGGCTGGAGAGATGGACAAGAGCCAGGTCGTAATGACTTGCTGTGCTGGGTGAAGCTAAGGAATCTGGACTTTATACAGGGAGTCATATAAGATCCTTATACAAGGATCTTAAGGGTAGAAGTACCATGAGCAGGTTTGCAGTACTCTGGAGCACAGCATTGCAGATATGTTGGAGTAAAGGGAGACTGGAGGACAGAGACCACATAATGGATGATGTAGCATAGGCCCTTAGTATTTGTGAATGATGGAAGATAGGGACCTTTGAACTCAGGCAGTGGACGGAGAGTAAAGATACTGACTGGGGAGGTAAAATACATGGGACTTGGAGAGGGATGGAATATATTAGGTGAAGAGAAAGAGGATGTGAAGGAGTCACTAGAGGGAATCACATCGATGAATGGTAGCCTCAGAGCTCAAATATTAATGTGAAGAAATTTCAAAACAAACTCCCTTCCAAAACTATAACGCTAACTTCGTAATGTTAAAAAAAATCTAGATCTCAGATTATTCCCCACAGGTCATTATAAAGCACATCAAAAAAAGGAGGGGAATTCTAAAGTTAGCCAGGGTTTCCTAGAGCTCATATTAGAAGGCATTTCATTGGTGTTTGGCAACCCTTACTTCTTAAAGAAAATTCCAGGTAGAAAATAATCAATCTTAGCTGTCCTATAGTCTCTTCCTAAGATGATAACTTACTTTAAGATTAGAAATGCCTGCGTAAGTATAAGTAAGTTAAGAGTAAGGGGACAGCTATACTTTGATCCCTTCCAGCATGGGGAAACTCCCACATTGCATTGCATCTAAAACAGTGATAGAACTGTAGGCTTTCACAGTTTGTGAAATGATGTTGCTGTTTAGCTTTAGCCCTGATTTATTTTATTCTCTGTGCTTCAAAATTTTATTTCCAACTGCAGATTAGATATCTCCACCGGAATAGTCCACAGGCATCCCAGGTGGGGCATTTCTAATACAGAACTGGTTATCTTCAGTTCTCCACCTTGAATCTTTTCGTGTCAGCCCAGTCATTTCAGTAACAGCATCACTCCACATGTAGCTATTTAAACTAGAAAACTCTGTCATCTTCATCTCTTCCCTTGCTCACCATTTCCAGTTGGTTGGCTTCTGAGTTCAGGCTAATCAACATGTTAAATATGTGTGGTAAATGTTGTCTTGATTTCTGCTGTCCTCATTATTTCTCACTTAGACTAATGCCTTTTGTCTAACTCATATCTATTTCCTTCTAGCTCACAGTTAAATCTTATTCTTTCCAAAACACAAAGGCAATGCAAAAAGTAGCAGAGGTATTGAGGTGAAGGTGAGAGAAGTGGAAAAGGCTCTATCTGCCAAATGGCCTTGATCAAAGGGAGACACCTCTTTGTCTGCTTTTAGTGAAATAGGTCAATGTGTTGCTGAGGTTGGACTTTGAGGCAAGAAGAAATAATTGGATTAGGCAATATTAGGTACAATAGTAATTCACTATATCCTCATTTTCTGGGACCTTCCCATCTGCAAGTAATTTTATTTGCTAACTTCTTACCCCTTCTATGATGGCATCCAGTCTAAATCATCATCTCTTGCCTGGCCTGGCATAAAAACATTATACTTACTCTCCCTGCTTCCAGTCTTGCCTCCTACATTCCATTCTCAACTTAGTAGCCAGAACAATTCTCTAAAAACTTAAGGCAGCTCATGTCAATCCACTGCTCAAAACTTTGAAGAATTTCCCACTTGACTTGAGTATAATTGTAAGTGGTTGACTCAGCCTGTGTGATCCAGTCCCCTTTACCTCATTGACTTTACCTCCTGTCCCTCTTTCTCTTCCCTCCTTCTACTTCAGCCACACTCGCCCTCTGATTCTTTCTAATGTGCTAGGCATGCTTCCTTCTCAGGGCCTTTGCTTTTAGTTTTCCCTCTGCCTGAAAGGACCGTGCAACTCATCCCCTCACTCCCTTTAGATCTTTGCTCAGATGTCACCTCGGTGAGACCTTTGCTGACCACTCTATTTAAAATAGCAACACTCTACCCATATTCTATGCCTTATCTTTCCCACAGCAACATACTAGCTTTTAATATACTCTATATTTCACTTAATTTATCTTCCCTCCCCCCCAAAGATAATCTCTCTTAGGGTAGAATATTGTACCTGTTTTGCTCACTGCTGTATTGCCATTGCCTAGAACAGTGTCTGGAGCATAGCAAATGCTCAGTAAAAACATGCTAAAGATAAATAAAATGAGTTAACGCAATAATCATAATATCATGTTTATCTCTAATACTTTTTCATACAAGCAAATTCCCAAATCAGAACAAACCCTTTACAAGGGTTTGTTATGCTATGTTGTAACCTGTTACATTGTAGACACTTATTAGGAATTTTTATTTCAAATGTGATTATTTTTACCTTTATAACCTTTCCTCTATGAGGTTGAGAAAATGTTTTAAAATAATAAGAAAAGAAAGTTTATATGCAAATATCTTGCTTAATTTATCTTTCATAAAGTACCAGATAAAATTCCCTATACAAATCAATACTAAATAAATAAAAATTCATCTTAGTGCTTTTGGGAAATTAGGACACATTTTTTCTTTATTACTAGGTAACGATAAACTCACCAGCCTACTTGTGCAAATTTCCTGATTCATCATCTTAATGTAATAGTTCTGGAGTTGGTGGCAGCCTTAAGTAAAACTGCCATTTATGCAGAGAAAGATTATTGTAAGTTGCTTGGATTATCATGCTTTGGCTAAAGGGTACCAAAAAATGCTTTGTCAACACGAAGGTAAATGAAATATAATGACTGGCATGGAGGATTACCAGATTTGCAAATTTATCTTTCACAATTATTTTATACATGTTTTCAAATTTTATCTTTCACTAACTTTTTTCCCTGGTTAAAAAATCAAATCATATTTATTGAATAGATTTTGAAATTACTAAGAACCAATCAAACTAACAAAAAGAACAAATAATCTTCCATTATCCCATCACCTAGACATACATAGTAACTGTGAAAGGTAACGAATGGACTCTGAAGTCAGACACATCTTCGATTTGAATCTTTACTACTTATTATTATTTGTCTTTAAAAGTTAGTTACTTGACCTTTCTGTGCTTCAGTTTTCTCATCTATAAAATGGGAGTAACAATAGAATTTACCTTATAGGGTTGTTGAAAGTCCTTCATAGACCTGGCACATGGTTAATATTGAATCTACTACTAACTGTTGTTATTTTCTTCTAGTCTTTTTTCTAAGTATATATTTTTATTTATAGTTAAGAACATCCTGTATATTTCTTTTTTTACTTAACATCATATTATAAGCATTTTCTTGTTAAATTTCTAGTTGATGAATAGCCTTATCCTAAATCAGTGACAACATTTCTATTTCCTTAGGGTAAATTGTAGATATCTCAGAACAACTAATGGCAGCCCATTTAACTTATAAGAATGCTCTAGCAGGAAATTATCGATTCTGGAGTTTTAATCTTATAACCATAACCTGATGGGGAATATCAGATACCCGACTGGTGTGATCATTGAACTCAGTAGGAGCTCAGTGAGTAGAGGGAGGCAGTATACAAGGTCGTTATAATCTTGGTTTTGCAAGTTGGGCAACGTACTTAACTTTTCTGGGCCCCTCCTGAACAATGGGGTAAAAATAATGCCTATCTCATGGAGTGGTGAAGATTAGTTTCTAATCCTGATAAATGGTAAACACTTAATGAATATTAGCTCTTTATTGTTTGTTATTATGGTTAACACTTAAAAGTTTGTTTTCATAATTAAAAGTGAGAGAATAGCAGTGATTTTGACAAGTAATATGAGAGTAAGCTGTAAAATATAAGATAGGGCAGTATAAATAGTTTTCAGTTGAAAGTGGTTTGATTTTATCCCCCCATTTTAAATATAACAAATATTTTTATCTGTTCTAAATTTATTATCCAGAAGACAACATGGGAAGAGGCATTTGGTTTAATAAATCTTATAAAGGACTTTTTATAATTTTCTTCAGTGATTCAAAGATGGAATGTGATTTTTATCCAAATTATTCTTGTTAAAAGACAAAAATGCTTTATGTAAGTTTTTTTGAAGTAAAATTTAAGCTAAATACATAAACTAATAATGCTAGCATTTATAGAGTGCATTCTGTGTGCTACACAATTTTCTAGGTTTATTATTCATATTAGCTTATGAAATCCTTATAATGTCCTATGAGGAAGGTTCTGTTATTATCTCCAATTATAGAAGAAACTGAGGCAAAAAGAGGTTAAATAACTTGCTGAAGGTTACATGACTAGGGAGAAAATTCTGCCCTCTGTAGTCTAGCTCCAAAACCCATGCTTTTAACCACTCTACTATGTTACTTAACATTCCAACAGAAAAAGGATAAAAATTGATTAAATACAGTACCAATATGTTTACAGTAAGTTTGTGTTAATCTAAGAATTTGATTAATATTAAAGAGTATGTTTAAAAAAATTCATATCTTTTGTGGGAATATAAGTATGCAAATTTCAATTCATTTTTTTTCTTTTAGTTTTTTAGGTATGGAACAAAAATATTATATCAAAACAATGAAGGTTTTCAGTCTAAATTCTTTCCACCCTTTCAAAAAGTGATGCTACCACCAAATAGTTTTCAAGGAAAAGTAGCATTCATTACTGGGGGAGGTACTGGCCTTGGTAAAGGAATGACAACTCATCTGTCCAGCCTAGGTGCACAGTGTGTGATAGCCAGCCGGTAAGTCAGTCTCAGCAAGTTGCCTGGCAAGAGTCTATTGGTGAATAATTCCGTGCCACAATATTGAAAACACTATTTGCCAGAGTTGTTTGATTTGCGTCGTAATCTTCTATGAAATATCCTTTAGATTATTTAACTAAATCTCCTTGGAAAAAGTCAGTTATAATTTGTGATGATAGGGCTTCCCTTGTGGCACAGTGGTTAAGAATCCACCTGCCAATGCAGGGGACATGGGTTCGAGCCCTGGTCTGGGAAGGTCCCACATGCCGCAGAGCAACTAAGCCCGAGCACCACACTACTGAGCCTGTGTGCTAGAGCCCACGAGCCACAGCTACGGAAGCCTGCGTGTCACAACTACTGAAGCCCATGCACCTAGAGCCCATGCTCTGCAACAAGAGAAGCCACAGCAATGAGAAGCCCGTGCACCGCAACGAAAAGTAGCCCCGGCTTGCTGCAACTAGAGAAAGTCCACACACAGAAATGAAGACCCAAAGCAGCCAAAAATAAATAGAATAATTAAAAAAAATAATTTGTGATAGAAATAATGATTGATTATGGAACTGATGATATATATATTTCACAAATTCAGTGATAGAATTTTTTCTCTATATGAAGTTAAAAAGTACTATATTGAGGCTGCTTTGTTTTCAGTGAGATTGATTATAATTACTGATTCAGTGGATAGTTAACCTTGTACCAGGATAATGGATATAATGCTTCCATTTTCTATAAGATGGGCAGATATTTCAAAACAGCTGTTGTGATGAATGTAGGGAGGGTGAGACCATGTGGAAAGAATTTCTTATTTAGGCATGTCCCAGTACCTTATAACGATGTAAGTATAGAGGTTTAGAGACTGGTCAAAAAAATCTACCCCTTCTTCCAATTTTGAATAGTGTACAATTCTTAGGTAGGCTAAGTAGTAACCTGAATGACAAGTCACTATGTAATTTACAGGGGGCAAAAGGAATTTCTTTCAGATGTTGTTGTTTTTTTTTTTTTTTTTCCAGTACGCGGGCCTCTCACTGTTGTGGCCTCTCCCGTTGTGGAGCACAGGCTCTGGACACGCAGGCTCAGTGGCCATGGCTCACGGGCCCAGCCGCTCTGCGGCATGTGGGATCTTCCCGGACCGGGGCACGAACCCGTGTCCCCGGCATCGGCAGGCGGACTCTAAACCACTGCGCCACCAGGGAAGCCCTCAGATGTTGTTTTTAATGCAAATTGGCCAGAACATTTTTTTTCATGTTGTAATGTGTTTAAGAGTGTTAAAATATTATTTTTTTATAACACTACATAATTTACATTGTGTATTTTTTTGTGTTTCTCTCAAGAGCATAAGATTTTGACTATATATAGTTGTCCAGACCCATCAATTTGATCTAAAATCTACTAATGTCGATTTTATACATAACATAGTTTTTTTATAGTTTAGCGTAAGCTTACATCATTCCAGGAATGTATTTTCCTTCTCAAGCAGGCTTTGGCAAGGAAATACATAGAAATGAATATAATTAAGGAAATAATTTAAAATCTATGAGTAGATATAAAATAACTGGCTTAGAAGTAATTTAATAAATTAGTGTCACATATATGAAATTGCTTAAATTTAACTTCTAGAAAATAAATGCATTCAAACTACCTTGCTTGTAGATATAGCTTTTCTATTGTCTCAAAAATTCATGTCATTAAGCTGTAGATTCTTTTTTAATTTATGAAATTAAAAAGAAAAATATAACATGAAGTTATTTCAGAACTCATGCAAAGTACCATGTGTTTTTTTCTAGAAAAATTGATGTTCTGAAAGCAACTGCAGAACAAATTTCTTCTCAAACTGGAAATAAGGTACATTAAAAACAGTTACTTAAATCAGATTTAGGAATTATAGCATGCTTAAGTAATTTACTCATACTCATGGATTAGGAAGTCTGAAAAAATATAGGGTTCTTTTTTTCTCTTTGTTATTTTGCAGGTTCATGCAATTCAGTGTGATGTGAGGGATCCTGGTATGGTGCAAAGCACTGTGTCAGAACTGATCAAAGTCGCAGGACATCCTGATGTAAGTGTAATGGTGATGAGGCGAAAGTATGAGGCCTTTGATGTTGATATCACCTACCAAGATGTATTAAGGAAATAAAATATTGATGTGAGCAAATGCTGTGTTAAGAAGCAGCTATTTTCCATTGCTAGCAGAAAGCTAGCTCTGTTTAAACCAGGGAATAGATTAGGTGGACTGCTACACCATTTCCTTTCAGGAGTACTTAAAAAATACATTTACAATCATATAGAAAAAACGATTTTACTTTATTTAATAAGATTATGAAATAAGAGCTGTTATCCAAGAGCACAATATCTAATTTAAATGATTCATGCTCTTTGCTTTTTTTAAATAACTTAATTATCTCTGTCAGTGGAGGAGAATAATACAAACAAGGAAACCTACAAAAAAACCTCCAGATTTGTAAGACCTGAGATATGCATGGGTATTTTGCTTTTGTTTGGTTCACATATTGGAAAGAAACCATTTCTTCCAGTAGTCTCAAAGAGAGCACTTTTCTATGTTAAAGATATTTTCAGACAAACCGATAATGTATTACATTATTGGTGGAATAATAATATTGGAATCTTTATTGACACTGAAGAAGCAGGTCATCAACCAAGAATTTCATTAGCTAAATTAAGCCAAAATGATACCAGAAATTAAAGGCATTTTAATTAAGATTTCTTGAAATAAAGTATAGTCACATGGTAGATATGCTTAATCTATATTTATATTTTTAATAATAGACTGTACCCTAATTTTGAGGTGGGGATTAGAACTCTAAAATTTGGTAAATAATAATAGGGAATTTTCACAGGCTCAAAAAAGGTAAAACTGAACCAAATCTCATGGTATTTTTTCATAGCAGACTGTGAACTTTAGCTTTATTATATTATTTGGATTTATAAGTTTCAAAAATAAAAGCCCTTTAGGGAAAATATTCTTCCTCATCTAAGTTTCTGTAACTTGCCTTAATCATTTATTAGATTGTGATAAACAATGCAGCAGGGAATTTTATTTCTCCCACTGAAAGACTGTCTCCTAATGCTTGGAAGACCATAACTGACATAGTTCTAAATGGCACAGCCTTTGTGACACTAGAAATTGGAAAGCAACTAATCAAAGCACAGAAAGGTATGTATATTTATTCTTTACATGTTTATTGGATTCCTACTTGTGCAGTTTCTGTGCTAAGCCCTGGGATACGTAAAAACGTCAATGACAGTGTCTATTCTTGTACAACTCATAAGCTATTGGGGAAGAAAGATACTTAAATAGTTACCATATGCACTTAAATAGTTACCATATGCTGTGATCTAAGCTATATTAAATGTTATGTTTCAAGTGCATTGGAAATCCAGAGAAAGAAAGAAATAACTCTCCCTAGGGATGATTATCATGTTCCTCATTATCATTGAGGAACAGAATGCAATTTTAGCTGAATTTTCAAAGATCTAGACATGGAGAAGGGGGAAGGAAAGGAAATGTAAATGTCCATGGGAAGAAGCTTGGTGTGGGAAAAGCAGAAGGGCTTAGGGACTGGTTACAGATGGGGAGGGAGATCAGTGGGAGATGATTATGGGAGGTGGGTTGGATGTAATTGGGAAAGTTCCCAATACCAAAATGGGGAATTTGATGTTAATTTTGAGTAAATGGGGAATTATTTCCGTATGGCTTTTTCTTGAAGGTGTCTCATAAAGAATGTGACTTGATTAGAAAGGTTACTGGGAACAATGTAAGGGCTAGAAAAGATTAGAGAGATCATTTAGGAGGGTCTTATTTTCCTTTTGTTAGGATAGATGGCATGGAGGATAAATTAGGAGATATTTAGAAGATAAGATCAATAGGCCTTACTGATAAGGTGACAGAGTTTTTAGCTGGAGTGGATAGTTTAGATGATGATGACATCAATGAGAAAACTGGAAGGAGAGTAGATTTAGAATGTACTAAAACATTTTTGTTTAGTACTATAGGAACAGACTTCTTTAGAAAAGTTCATACAATATAAATAGTGAATATATTTGTAATGTATTTAGGTGGGTATATACATATATGTCTAGAACCAGTGTACATTTATTCATTTAACAGAAACTTACTGATGACTTTTGTGTACCAGGCCCTGTGCTGCATGCCCACATGACAGGTGACTAAGACACTGTCCCTGAGCAGGTTGTGGTTGGGACTTGAAGGATGGGGGCATTTTCTCAGAGAGGTTGGAGAGTGTTCTGAACCAGGACAAGGAGGAAGAATCCTTGTGTTCCTTGAAGGATGTCCTCTGGGGCTTGAGGGGAATGGCATGAGCCGACCAGTTTCCTTCTGTTGGTTCAAAGCCTTTGCCTCATTAGGTTCAGTTTCTTCTTCTTTACAGTGTGGATAATTCTCAAATCAGCTTGAGAAAGGATGTAGGAACAGACAGAAGGATGCTAGAGAGGCACTAGCGTTTTTTCTACACATGTGCTAATAACTTCCATCTTTTCTCCATGCACTCATTGAAATTGAAACCCCAGGTCACTCATTCCCATTACAACAAAGTGGATATGATTGAAATTTGGAATTTACATATTTTTTTTGATTTTTTTTAAAGGGGTGGATTATTGGGAAGGGAGACAGAGAAGTGTGGGCTGACTTCTCTCTCTTCTCTGTTCTAGGATCCTTCTATCTCTTCTCACTCTGCCTCTGTCTGATTTCCTCTCTCCATACCTCTTACTCATTTCTCTATTTGTTTCTCTATGTATGTCTGTCTCTCTCTCTTTCTCTCTCTCTGTCAACTCTTCACTTTTGCTTCTGTTTCTTTCTTCGGTCTCTCTCATCACTTGGTGTTTCTCTGCCTTTTCTCTTTTATTTCATCCCCTGCCCATCTGTGTTACTCTTGATTTCTGTCTGACTCTCCCTTCTTTTCTCATTATTGTCATTCATTTTAACGTAGACTTTGATCTATTTTTATTCATCACATTGGTTAAAATTCTATGGGCTTCATTAAAAATACATTAGCTAAGGCTTCTTAAAAGATGGAGCCAGTTTTCATTCTTCCAAAATTCCTGTCGGTTATAGATGCTGTAACCTGACAGGGTTTTAAGGACTTGTATTAGTGAGCTGTGGAGAGTACAATGCACAGGGTCTTTTCTGGTATTGGAGCAATAGTCAAGGAACTCAGGTGCTAATGACCTCTGAGGTGTGTCAAAGTGGTAAATACGGAAGTCAGTTCAGGGAGCAGGCAATCTGTAATAATCTGTGATCAGAAGTATGTTAGGTGGTCTGATATCTAGGAAGGTGGTCAAGGTAAGGTATCCGGGAAGTCAGACTAGAAAATATAAGGGCACCAGCAACTAGAAGCCAGATACTCACTTGCTGGGGACAGGAATTGGTGATGAGGTGCACTCAGAGAGGGACTAGCAGATGACTGAAGATCAGGAGAACTGTGGCCTTAGCAGGGGCAGAGAAGCTAAAATTAGAGGGACACTATTAAAGTATGTTTCTAGGCAGCACTGATGCAAAACTAACAATTTTGAACAAATAAAGGATTTAGGAAACTCCTAAAGACCTTAGCCCAATGTGCTCTTATAGCCACAAAGGTCAGTAAATACATGGCTGATCCTTTCTGGGGAGGATTTGAAATTATCATGCTGAGGTTCATTCATCACTAAGATGTCATATATAAATTTAAAATTTTTAGTAAATAGTGTGGAAAAGAGTACCTAAATTTATTAAAGAATTGAGAGAACTTGAAATGAGGAAAGACTAAAAGAATAATACAGAGTTTTATTTAAGAGACTAGTCATGAAGGACATGGATAGGATAAATATTGAATTTTTCCATCAAACCCTAGAGATCACTAGAAGCAAGAGATACCTCTTGAAACTCTTAAGAGGTTATTTTAACCACTTAAAGTAGCATTATTATTTAAGTCGCATTAATAATACTTTATACCACAATAGTGCTTTGTAATTTACAAAGTATTTTCATATATCAGTATAGAATCAGTATGAAATGCAGGATTATTGTATGCTGAAATACAGATAGATTAAAGAAAGAGTAAATCAATGCATAATGTAGCTCTAATGTATGTATTATTTTTAGTTTGCTAAATGGGAAGAAACATTTATGTATAGTAAAATCCACAGAGTTTCTATATATAAATTGATACAGAATTTTGATTGTTTTGTAAATTTATACACTTAGGTAACCATTACCAAACCAAGACATAGAACATTTCTGTTGCCTCCAAATGTTCCCTCTTGCCGATTTCTACTTAATCCTCACTATCTATGTTTTTAATCCATTTTTTATTGAGTTATTTCTCTTTATTATTTTAAAAATTCTAGATTTATTTTTTATTGAAGTAACATTGGTTTATAACATATATAAATGTTTCAAGTGTGCAGTATTTCTACTTCTACTTACACTACAGTGTGTTTACCACTAAAAATTTTGTTTCCATCTATCACCATACAGTTGATCCCCTTTACCCATTCCTCCCTGCCCCTTCCCCTGGTAACCACTACTCTGTTCTCTGTATTTATGTGTTTGTTTTTGTTTGGTTTTTTCATTTGTTTGTGTGTGTGTGCATGTGTTTGTTTTTTATAGTCCACATATGAGTGATATCATATGTATTTGTCTTTTTCCATCTGACTTATTTCACTTAGCATGATACACTCAAGGTCCATCTGTGTTGTCACAAATGGGAAAATTTTATCTTTTTATGGCTGAGTAGTATTTCTGTGTGTGTTTGTGTGTGTGTGTGTGTATCACATCTTTATCCATTCAACTGTTGATGGGCACTTAGCTATTTTAATATCTTGGCTATTGTAAATAATGCCATGATGAACACAGGGGTTCATATATCTTTTCAAATTAGTGTTTCTGTATTCTTTGGATAAATACCCAGAAGTGGGATAGCTGGAAAATATGGTAGTTCTATTCTTAATTTTTTCAGGACCCTCTATACTGTTTTCCATAGTGGCTACACCAGTGTATATTCCCACTAACAGTTTACTAGGGTTCCCTTTATTCTGTATCCTCACCAACATCTGTTATTTATGGTCTTTTTGATGATAGCCATTCTGACAGGTGTGAGGTGCTATCTCATTGTGGTTTTGATTTACATTTCCCTGATGATTAGCAATGTTGAGCATCTTTTCACGTGCCTGTTGACCATCTATAAGTCTTCTTTGGAAAAATGTTTATTCAGCTCCTCTGCCCATTTTTTAAATGTTTTTTGTTGTTGTTGTTGAGTTGTATGAGCTCTTTACATATTTTGGATGTTAACCTCTTATCGGATATATCATTTGCACGTATCTTCTTCCATTCAATAGTTTGTATTTTCATTTTGTTGATTGTTTCCTTTGCTGTGCAGAAGCGTTTTAGTTTGATGTAGTCCCATTTGTTTATTTTTGCTTTAGTTTCCCTTGCCTGAGGAGACATATCTAGAAAGATTGCTAAGACTGATGTTAAAGAGCTTACTGCCTATTTTCTTCTAGGAATTTTGTGGTTTCAGGTCTTAGATTCAATCTTTGATCTATTTTGAGTTGATTTTTATGTATGGTGTGAGATAGTGGTCTAGTTTCATTTTCTGTCAGTGACTGTCCAGTTTTCCCAACACCAAGTACTGGAGAGATTATCCTCTCTCCATTGTATGTTCTTTGCTTCTTTGTCATATATTAATTGTCTGTATATACATGGTATTATTTCTGGGCTCTACTTTCTTTTCCTTTGATCTGTGTATCTCTTTTTCTTTCATTACCATGCTGTTTTGATTACTATAGCTTTGTAATTTAGTTTGAAATCAGGGAGTGTGATACCTCCAGCTTTGTTCTCTTTTCTCAGGAGTGTGTTGGCTATTTGCTGTATTTTGTGGTTCAATATAAATTTTAGAATTCTTTTGTTCTATTTTCATGAAAAAAGTCCCTGGGAGTTTGATAAGGATTGCATTGAATCTATAGATTGCTTTAGGTAATAAGGTCATTTTAACAAAGTTAATTCTTCCAACCCACGAGCCCAGAATATCTTTTCACTTATTTGTGTCTTCATTCTTTCAACAATGTCTTATAGTTTTCAGTGTATGAGTCTTTTACCTCCTTGGTTAAATTTATTCCTAGGTATTTTATTCTTTTTTTTGTGATTGTAAATGGGATTGT